TCTTTCTCTCTGGAGACACATTTAAGTCTTGGTATCACTTTGTGGTCTGTTGGTTAAATCATTATGTAATGACTCTGGAATTATAAGGACAAAAGAGGCCTCATTAAGAAAAAGGTTGAAGACATTTGGAACCAGATGTAATACGTAAGGTGTAAGTACTGAAGAGAAAGAAATGATTGAATGGTTTTGGAATTTCTAGTAAAGACAGCCAGTTGAGATCTACTTCTTTTCACTCTACTTTTTTTTTACTTTTTAACTGAACAGAAATAAATGTATATGTTGTGAATTTACTTTCTCATTTGGTATGGCCATAAGAAAGATGAACTGTTAAGTGAAGTTAGGCAATACGATGAACTTTAGTGAGAAATTATTTGTGTTAATATAAAAAATCATAAAATGTTTTGAGGAATGGGGTAAACTTGGGCATACATAATTTTAGTCATATACAGGTATTAGGGCTGAATCAGGCCCTAAGCCTAGAAGAGGAATAAGTGAAACTAAATTTTGAAATATTCTATGAAGGTAGATTTAACATGTAGGTTGATCTTTAACAACTATGCTCATATAGAGTGGTCTTTTGGTGCTTAAAATAGGGTGACCTTGCCGGATATGGTGGTGCACGCCTGTAACCCCAGCACTCAGGAGGCTGAAGCAGGAGGATCATTGCGAGTTCAAGGCCAGCCTGGGCTACAAAGTAAGCTCAAGGTCAGCCTGAACTCCATAGTGAGACCCTGTCTCAAAAAGACATAAAATAAAATAAAATAAAATAAAATAAAATAAAATAAAATAAAATAAAATAAAATAATAGGGTCACCATAAATTAAAATCTGTTTTATAGTCTAAATAAAATATAAGTCACCAAGCAGAAAAGGTCCCTAGTTATATCCATGGCACAATATCCGTGACAGCAGATGTGGTGCCTGTACAATGGACTGGGAAGGTCAAGATGTGTTCTTTACCACCAGGGATTCCTGGAAAATAGGGTTCTAGTTCAGTAGTTCCCTGATGGTTGCCTGTAATTCAGAGCTTTTTAGTACCCATCCCCTGTTGTATCTCTACCCCTGGATTTTGTCCTAGGAAGGCAAGGCAGGCTAGTGGTTAGACATCACTTTTTGGAGTCACACAGACCTGTTATCCTCAGATCCTCACTTATTACCTGCTTGACATTAAGCAAGTTTATCTCCTTCTCCTCCTCCCTCCCTCTTTTTCTTCCTCCTTTTTTTCCTCTCTCTCTTTGCCTTCCCCGCCTCCTTCCTGTCTCTTTTTTTTGGTGGTACTGGGAATCAAACCCATGAATGCTCTGCCACTGAGCTTTACATCCCCAGTCCATTTTATTTTTTTATTTTGGGACAGTCTTATTGAATTGCCCGAGCTAGCCATGGACTTGTGATCCTTCAGCCTCAGCCTCTGAGGTAGTTGAGATTACAGGTGTATGCCCCTGTGCCTAACTTGCTTTATCTCTTTAAGCCCCAGTGTTCTCATCTATAAAATGGATGAAATGCTCACACCTCAAGGGTCATTTCCCCTGTATGAAGTGTTTGGTGTGGCTTAAATACTCAATAAGTGGTAGCTATTGACAGTTTCACTTTCTTTTTCTTTCTTTCTTTCTTTCTTTCTTTCTTTCTTTCTTTCTTTCTTTCTTTCTTTCTTTCTTTCTTTCTCTAAAGATAGGGTCTCACTGTGTTGTTCAGACTGGTCTTCAATTCACTAGGTAGCCCAGGCTGGCCCCAAACTCGCAGATTCTCTTGCCTCAGCCTCCCAAGTGCTCGAATTACAGATGTGTGCAACAATGCCTGGCATTTCACTGTTACTTTAAATTTAAATGTCTGTCCTTGGTCATTCCACTCGTCTGTTCCCCAGTCTACCACATCTGTTCTATAACCCTGTGGAATGTTATGGTCCAGGAAACTTTCTCCATATGAGGGGAAAAATAGCTGTCTGTGACCCTGGGCTTATCACACTCTTTCCAAATTTGTGTTAAGAAGATCCCCGAGGACCCATCCCAGGTTCAAGAAGGGAGAGGTCTGTCATAAGAGAAGAGCCAGGCTAAGGAGTATGAAAGAGAGGGAGTGGGCAGGGGCTGGGGATTTAGCTCAGCAGCACAGCGCTTGCCTGGCAAGTGTGAGGTCGTGAGTTCTATTCCCGGTAGGGGGGGGGCGCGGGGGAGGGAGTGGGCAGAGATAAACTGGAGGCAGAGCTCTGTCCTTTTAGGAGAGTGATGTTCATATACCTATCATTCTAGGTAAAATTTTAGAGCAGATAGTCACGGAAACAGCTGTTTCTAAGGCTCAGGATAACTACGGGTTTGATGGCTTTTAATGAATTATTTACAACATATAATTTGTCATAATTATAATCTAAGTTGATGCCTTACACGTTGTGGGTAGGAAGAGGGAGGAGCTTGGTAGCTAAGCTCTTATTATCATTTCTTATTTGCGGAGAAGAAACTTAGACTAAATGACCCATCTAAGGCCAAATGTGTAGTAAGTAACAGAGACAACACACTAAAAACACCTATTCGAGCTGCCTGGCATCTCTCCTCCCGCTTCCTCCTTCGGCAGCATTCTCCCCTTCCCACCACTCTACCACTGTGCAGTGAAGAGGACCTGCCCCAACCCCATCCTTCCTCAGAGGTGGGTGTGTGACCCAGGGCAGCCTTACTAAAAGAGTGTCCTATTCTGGGCCCTGCCTCAGGCCTTCAGAGCTGTTGCTCAGCATTTTTACTTTTAGGAAAGGGAGTGTAGCTCTTTTCCCTTGGTCATATCATCAGACAGCCTTTTGCTTACCTACCTGCCCTACCATTCTCCAACAGCACCTGACCTCTTATACCTATTTCTAGAGTGGTAACCCCCATGAGTTTAGGGACTTGCTCATTCTCTGTCTTGTATCCTCAGGCTCTTTGTACTTTGTACGTACTAGACATTCACATAGAAATATATTCATTGTAAGAATGAATGACTCACTGGTTATGGTGGGGCACACCCAGAATCCCAGCACTCAGGAGGCTGAGGCAGGAAGATTGCAAGTTCGAGGCCAAAAAAAAAGAAGAAAGACAAAGAATAAATGAGTCACTGTTACTGGTCAGAGTCTGTGAGAATGTATATATCATCTTGTCTTTTTCCTCCTCCCTTTTTGTCATCACTTGCCGAGATTCAAGGAGGAGGGTGAAGAAGAAAGCATGTCCATCCCTGTGGAGCCAGCTCTACTCCTCCTCCCTAGTCTGCACTGCCTAGAGCTTCAGGACCCCCTCAGCCTGTGCCACTTAAGATTCAGTTTCTGTCCTGTGCCTGGTCTCAGTGCTGCCAGCCCTGAACCATAGCCAGTTGTTTAGAGCAGGGACAGCCTGTTAGGAGCTGAATTGTACAGGGCCATTGACAAGTTGTTGGGAACCAGGATGCACAGCAGGTGAGCAGTGGTCAAGTGAACAAAGGGCCCGTCTGTGTGTACCTGTAATCCTAGCTACTCAGGAGGCTGAGATAGGAGGATCACAAGTTCCAGGCCACCCTGGGAAACTTAGTGAGATCCTGTTTCAAAATAAGATTGATGTAGCTCAGCACTCCTTAGGTTAAACCCTCAACCATAGGCAGATGCGGAGGCAGGGTGAGGGATGAAAACAGTTCTGAACATTTACCACTGGGGGCTTGCAGCCACAGGCCTTGTAGGTTTGCTCCTACTAGTTGGATGAATTGCTAACTTAATAAAGTAACCTTTTTATGAGTAATCTATGTAAGCCAGTGAAAATAAATAAAATACCTTTCACACACAAAAAATCCAAATATGATGGAACACGATAAAAGAGTTACAAAAGGTTTTTATTGGTATTGTCAAATTTGGTGTGGGCAAAGGCACTGTAAGAGATTAGGAAAAAATGTCAGTAATCTGGACGATTTCTGCTCAGAGTTGCTTTGCAAATAGCAAGTATAATATTACCCCATAAAGAAAGAGAAATAGGAAATCACAGAGAATACACTGTAGCTGTGGTTAAGACAAGAAAGAACACAGAGAACAGCTGCTGCCAGAGGTTGTTTGAAAAATGAACTTCTGTGTCTTAAAATGTTTATAACACATAATATTTTTGTGTGTATTTTTTTGTTTCATTTTGTTCTTGTTTTTTTTGAGACAGGGTCTTGCTATATGGTTCAGGCCGGTCCTCAGCTCACTATGTAGTCCAGGCTGCCCTTGAACAAGTTTCCAGCATTGTAGAGGGGCACATGTCTGTAATCCCAGCTATGGGGCTAAGGAAGGAGGTTCACAAGTTCAAAGTCAGCCTGGCCAATTTAGCAAGACCCTGTCTTAAAAGGTCTAGGGATATAGCTTAGTGATGAAGTGCTCCTGAGTTCAGTCCCCAGTACTAGAGAAGAAAATAGAAAGTTCCTACTTGCACTATTAACCAACCACTAATGTGTGCCAGGTTAGTAGGTTTCTGTGTACTGATGAGTGGGGTTGCCTCATATGTTTTGTTGACTCCTAGAAGACTGGCCTGTCAGGTTTTTCATAAGGTTGTAAATAAAACATCAACTATATTAATAACTGTGCCAACACTGAGTAACCAGTATCTTTGGATTCCAGTTATAGTGGGATGTAAGCCAAACTAACCTTGTCTCAGATTTTTAATCGCATGGCTTTTTCTTCTCCGTTTGAACACTGGGTGGACATAATTGGGATTGTGGGTTGCTCTGGTTCAGCAGGAGCTGAGAAACATTCAGGGTAGGTAAGCCGGAGTCCAGGTGAGGGGAGTGGAGGAAGGAGCGAGGACGCTTGGTGTGAAGTTGGAATGCCCACTTGAATGTGAAGGTTTACTACTTGGTTAAAATGTTGTGACTTCTAGTCATCTGGGTGCCTACATCCAAATATGAGAATAAAGGCAGATCTTTCTCACGTGTGAGGACTTTCTGACTTCGTAAGATTTTATAATTCTGCAGTTGTTGATAATTGAGAATTCCTTGTGCTAATTCATCAGCAGCCTGCAACCTAAAACCCCTGGCTCTTTTTTTTTTCAGGTATTGGGGCGGTGCTTCTTGACAGTGGTGCAAGTCCATTTCCAGTTTTTGACTCACGCATTACAGAAAGTCCAGCCGGTGGCTCACTCTTGCTTTGCTGAGGCGGTTGTACCAGAGAAGAAGAACAGCAGTGGTGGTGGCAGCTTAGCTGGCATGGGCCACACGCCCGAACTAGAGGAAGCTGTGCGTTCCTGGCGGGGAGCTGCTGAGGTAAGTGGCTTTGGGGAGATTGGGCCCTGTGGTACAGTGGGAGAAGTTCCAGAGGTCTTTTGCCTGTTGGTTCTCAAAAGAGCTATTTTCTTTAGAAGTGTAACTTTTAAATTCTTTATCATTAGCCTGTTCATTCATGTAACAGTGACTGTCCTGGTGAATGCCCATTATGCCAGACCCATGCCAGGCACTGAGCTGACAGCCTCTCCTCACAGCCTACTGGGAGAAGGATTACAAACACAGGGTGAAGGGGCTGTGGTGGAGATGCACAGGAGCCCAGAGGAAGGGCTCTGTTCCCGAGTGGGGTGGTGCAGGAAAGCTTCTGGGAAGAGAGGGGCAGGGAGAAGGCTGGCGCCTAAGTCAGGAAAGACAGGGTGGAGCAGGCTGGAGAGCTCCAGTGCTTAGCCAAGCAGCTAGGTAGGCAAGCAGGGGTGTTTGGCAGACGGATGGAATGACAGGCCCCGAAGCCACAGCCGGGCCACAGTTAAAGCTCAGTGGACATAGGGAATTTTATGTTTTTTGATAGCCAAATCACTGACTTTAGAAGTGCTTGGCATTGTATTTTTTTTAAGATTCTTAGTTGAGAGGCTGGGGATTTAGCTCAGTGGCACAGCGCCTGCCTGGCAAGTATGAGGTCCTGAGGTTGATTGCTGCTACCAAAAAAAAAGATTTTTAGTTGCTCTAACTTTGCCTAGATTTTTATTTGTCAGTTGCTTCGCATATGGTTTGCATACTTCTGCAGTGTTGCTTTATTTGACTTTAAGAACTCTTTAATCTTTTGAAAGAGTGGCTGTTTCCCAGCACAACAGATGAATTAGTGGGGAATCTTGTCTTGGTGACCTCCTTAATGAGGGCATCTGTCCCCATGGTGAGCAGCAGGCTCTCCCTGAGCTGCATGGATGGAGAAGTCCAGCCTAGCAAGGGACCCCTTTTCCAGTCACTCTTACAGCATTCTGCAGTCCCTTTCTACAACAGAAGAATTTAAACTTAAATTCAAACAAGTCAAAAGCAGCTCTTTTAAAAAGTCTGTCTTAAGGAGACTTCTCATGTAATCAGTGAAACCACATTTCCTTTTTTTTTTTTTTTTTTTTTTTTTATCTTTTTGAGACAGGGTCTCCCTATGCAGTTCAGGCTGGCCTTGAGCTCACTTTGTAGCCCAGGCTGGTCTCAAACTCAACGATCCTCCTCCCTCAGCCTCCCAAGCACTGGGATTACAGGCATGCACCACCATGCCTGGTTGAAAACACATTTCTTATAGACATTTAATATTGTGTTTCCAGTATGAGAAGGAAAAAATGAACCTTCCAAATAGAAATTTTAACTAAGACCTACTGCTCTATGTGAGAGTAGAAGGTGATTTCTAGTTAAGGAATGGTGTATTGACTTCTTATGCAATGTCTAATTTGAATCATTCCATAATTAAATTAGCTGTACGTTTCATTTTATGAAATTTAAGAAATTGCCTTTAAACAAATTTTTAAGACACAATTTTTCACATTTTAATACTGTATCATCTCTAGCTGGGCATGGTGGCACATGCCTATAATCCCAGCACTTGGCAGGCTAAGGCAGGAGGATCATTGCGAGTTCGAGATCAGCCTGGGCTACAAAGTGAGCTCAAGGCCAGCCTGAACTGCATAGTGAGACCCTGTCTCAAAAAGACCAAAAAACAAAAGCTATATTATCTCTAATCTCTTTGCTATTCCTTTGTCCTGTTATCATTTCTTTTGAGTTTCCTTTCAGTTGTTTTTTGTTTTCCTGTTTGCTTGTTTGTTTTGATCTCTCTTTCATGGTAAAGATGGTAAAGGCAAAAAAAAAAAAAAAGATAGTAAAGGCTTTCCTCGGGCTTTCTTGCTATTTATCAAAAGGCCCCTGCAATGTTAGGTAGAGACTGCATTGGGGTGGGCCCCTTTTGCTTCCTTTTAGATTGCCGGGTGGTAGCTCAGACCTTCCTCATTGGGCTTTACCCCTCTTTGTCCTCCTGGCTGCTGAGCCCCAACCTTCTGATTATGTTGCTTCCATTGAGAAACTGTAATACCTGGCCAGTCTACTCTGTTCCACCTGCTAGCATCCTTCATGCTGAGAGCCCACAGCATATGAAGCCTCCTAGTGGTACCTTGACCATCTCACCTTGACTTTTCTTCCTCCCACTAGTTGGTCCCCTACCTTTGCTTCTGGCCAGTGCCCTACCCCATCGCCAAAATGCTTCAGCTCCCTGGCCCCACCTATGGCCATCTTTTCTTACTTCCCCTTCATAATAACAGAGGAGGTACCCTTTCTTCCTGCTGGACCTGCCCTGATCCATTCTGCCTCCAGCCCTGAGGTCCCGGCTTCTTTGGACCCTGTGATTTCTCTCCTCTATTTTCTCTTCCTACCAGCACTCAAACATGGTACCAACAGAAAAATCTACCCAAGGGGCTGGGGATTTAGCTCAGCGGCAAAGCGCCTGCCTCGCAAGCACAAGGTCATGAGTTCGATTCCCCGTATTGGAGAAAAACCAAAAAAAAAAAAAAAAAAAAAAATCTACCCTGCTGTGCCCATTTCTCTGCTCTTCACAACCAAGAGCAGAGGAGTTGTCCATCTTTTTTCTCACCTTCCATTCATTATAAAACAAAATTATTATGAAGTAGTTCAAGTACATAGAACATGACACACACATTAGTGTGTTTTAGCTTTGCTAGATAAATCTTAAGCTTTGTGTCACATCTGCTTCGTGCCTTTTGTGTTTAACAGAAAAGTGTTATTACAGATACAGCTGAATCCCTTTTGTACTTCTCTGCTACCTGTTTGCATCCTTTCCTCTGTAGAGATAAACCTCTTGAACTTGGAGCCTGACTCCTGTGCATATTTTCATATTTTTACTGTCTGCATGTATCCATTCATGGTATAATGTATTATGGTGCACAATTTAAAACTTCATATGAATAGCTTTATTCAGTTTGCCAAAATCTGGCTTCCATTCCTATACAAGAATATGCCTACTCTTGTCAAAGTCACTGGTGCCCACTTTCTGTATTTTCAAATTCAGTGAGCCCTTTAACTCCAGTCAGCAGCTTACAGTATTTACAAGGGGAAAATGTAGTACTCTATGTAGTACTACAGGCTGGTCTTGGAACTTACAACAGTGCTCCTGCCTCAGCCTCCGGAGTGGTGGGACTATAGGCATGCACCACCACGCCTGGCCCTTTTTTCTGCATTTTTAATTTAATGTTTTGTTTACCTTTTCTGCTTCTGAGGCTGTCAGCTCGGGGGCCCCTGGAATCAGGTTTTATTCTCTACGCATCTGGCAATAACTAACATAATACTTTACAATTTGAAATATTTGGCTAAACCAGGCATGGTAGTGCATGTCTGTAATCCCAGCACAACAGGCTGAGGCAGGAGGATCTTTGCAAGTTTAAGAGCAGCTTGGGCTACAAAGTGAGCTCAAGGCTTACCTGAACTGCATAGTGAGTCCCTGTCTGAAAAAGACAAAAAATAAAAACAATAAAGTATTTGGCTGGCAGACTTACATAGTCAAATGGAAGCTGGGCATGGTAGCACACACCTGTAACCCAGCAAGGGAGGCTGAGGGAAGAGAATCTTTTTTTTTTAAAGAGTAGGAAAAATTTATTGAGAGAAAGAAAGCTTCTAAGAGGCACAGAAGAGGGACTGGAAAGTGGGTTGCCCCACCAACCCCCCTTCTCATAGGTGTTTATTGAGCAAAGCCACATTTAAGGTGGGACAGAACTACAATCAATCAGTAAGATTACAAGTACAGTCACTTAGGTAATACTGATCTACAGTAATGGCAAATCACAAGGTGGGTATGAGGTGGGACAAGACTGTGGAGAACCAATAAGGTTACAATAAGTATAGTCGCTAGGGTAATGTTGATTTAAGTGGGGATCAAATTCGGAAACAAGTCTCACATAGCAAGCCTACAAGGGTTAGACAGGGATTTTCTGGGAAGGGATAGGTTAAGGAGGTTTGGTCCTCCACCCCAAGGTGATTGATACCTACTTAGAAAATCAGTCACTGCTGTTCAGTGAGTGAGTAGTTCCTCTTTTCTTGAAGCCTGGCCTTCAGGGAATTCACTTCCAGTCATAGTTATCTTTGGCATTGACCTCTCAAGGGCTCAGCCCTGTCTGACTGCCTATAATATTTCTACCTGTAATAACTTAGCTGCCTATAATATTACCCCCTCTGAAGAAGTACCCCTAACTGCCATGAGGGAGCAAAGGTCAAAGACCAGTCTGGCTATTTCCGGCTAAAGAAGGTCGTAGTTGTGACTGGCAGTCAGAAATACTCCACAGGGTGTGTGTGTGTGTGTGTGTGTATTTTTTTTTTTTAATTTTTTTTTCTTGAGAAAGGGTCTTGCTATGCAGTTCAGGCTGGCCTTGAGCTCACTTTGTAGCCTAGGCTGGTCTCG